ATGAGAAATTTGGTACTCATGATCTTTCTTCATTTTCTGCAAACATAGTCATGAGAAATTTGGTACCCATGATCTTTCTTCATTTTCTGCAAACATAGTCATGAGAAATTTGGTACCCATGATCTTTCTTCATTTTCTGCCTACATGAAATGAACAGAGTTGACCACATGTCTTTTTTTTTTTTTATTCTTAATTTTTACTACAATTCTTACTTTTAATTTTTACTACAATACTTACTTTTAATCTTTACTTACTTTTAATCTTTACTACAATTCTTACGCTGTACCGTAAATTATCGTAATATAATGGGTGTGACAGAACTTTGGGAGCTCAGTCTATTTCCATAAGGGTAGTTCTTGTTTCAGTGTGGCGGACATTTTTTAAAACTTTCAAAGTTCCCATAATCGCTTGCGTGCTTTCTACACCGCCGTTTTTAGTTTTGAGATGTTTGTCTGAGATCTTGATTTTTTCCGTCTCTGTAGACATTCCTGGCGTTGTTTTCTTGATGATAATGGACTCTATGCCACAGTTTGACATGGCATTCCTGCCTTCTTATCCAAAGAGAGCACTTTTCCTAAATATTGAACTGGTGCTGTATTAGTATTTTTGTTTTACTTTGTTTTCTTTTTTTCCCACTTTCTATTTGGCCCAGTTAAAGATGAAGAAAATAAGTAGCAGTTCATAAAAAAAGATGAAACTTCTGAAAAGACAATTATTGACTGTGAGTTTTAGTTAGTTTAAGTAGAGGTTTTACTGCGCTCGCAACTGCATAAGGTCATATGAGCGCCAGAAGATTAGAAGTGTTACAAGAGAGTAACAAACATAAAAAAGAAGAAGGGGACATAAGGACGATAGATGTTTGATAGGAAAGAAGGAGCAAACCACACCAGAGCACCCACCAACCACCCACACTGTGAGTTAAAAAATGTTATGTCACGTATGTGTTGTTATGTACGAGATGTGTTCTTACCTTGATGGCTGGTCTTCCCACTGGGACGACATGTGAGCCCACTAGCGTGTTGATCAGCTCAGCACCTGCCGCGTACATGCTCACCAGAGCTGGCAAAGGAGACAGACACAACGATATAAATTAACACTTGAGAGTAATAGATCACTTCAGCTTCAAAAAGAGAACAATGTCATGTACTTGCTTTCTGGCGCTATCTGTTGTCTTTTTTTATTGATTGACTAGGTGTTTTACGGCACTTTCGATTCAATTTTGATCATGTAAGTGCCATCTGCTGTCTGCTGTCTTTGAAAATCAAGACTTGTAGTAGTTTGATGCTTGCATCTTTTCGGACTCTTTTAAAGATATGTAGAGTTACGTTGTATTGGTCATCACAATGGTAAGAGTGAGGGAGAGTAAAATGAATGAAGACAACAGCGGTGATGACGGCAATGGTGGTTACTGTAGTAATAGTGACGAAAAAGGGAGGGTGGGGGGGAGAGGAAAAGATGGGAAAATATTCTGAGAGAAAAAATAATCGACACCAGATGGGAAGATAAGGAGGGTCCAGAGATGACATTAAGCCTCCTTTTATGCTACAACGTTTTTATAAAAAAAAAACCTATTGGTTCTGAAAGAAACTTGAAGTAATCGACAAAGTATCAAAACATAGATCGTACCAGCGAGGAGTGACGTGACCAGAACCATCCACCTGGGGCACACGCCAAATGTGGTCAGCACCAGGGCGACGAAGCACACTTCCATGAACAGACTGAAGGGCATCCACACGCGGGTGAAGGTCGGAGATAGGATTATGACGACAGTGAACAAACATAGCAGACCAATTGATACTGGACGCAGGGAAAATGAAAAGTTATCTGTGGAAGAAACGAGTGAGAGTGATTGAAAACGTTTAAACATTCTTTCTGTTCCTATAAGTAACGTTTAAACATTCTTTCTGTTCCTATAAGTAACGTTTAAACATTCTTTCTGTTCCTATAGGTAACGTTTAAACATTCTTTCTGTTCCAAAAGTAACGTTTAAACATTCTTTCTGTTCCTATAAGTAACGTTTAAACATTCTTTCTGTTCCAAAAGTAACGTTTAAACATTCTTTCTGTTCCTATAAGTAACGTTTAAACTTTCTTTCTAGATCTATCCCTTTAGGTATACATTAATTTAAAAATTGTTGATCAGTTTGCAACTCATTCATTTTAGAATAATTGATTAAGTAGATATTCGAAACCGTGGGAATAAGGACTTGAGACGTCTTTTTCTTTAAAATGATCTATTTCCCTAAGGACGACAGTGTTGGCTTCTGGTATGAGCGCCACCTGTAATGTTTCTTTTTTATAATATGAACGCTTTTGGGGAACGCTTAGTGGAAGTTCGAGTGAAATTACAGTAATGTAATGATTTAATAAAAATTTTTTAAAAAGAAGGGTGGGTGTAGAGTAATTGCAAAACATTGTGATTTGTATGTATGTGTGTGTGTGGGGGGGGGGGGTACTTTTCTATTCTCATTATAGCTGTACTTGCACATATAAACGGAATTGTTATGAATTATGTTGTTTTATTTTGTTGTTGTTGTTATTGTTGTTGTTGTTGTTGTTGTTGTTGCTGCTGCTGCTACTGTTTTTGTTGTTGTTTTGGTTGTTGTTGTTGTTGTTGTTGTTGTTGTTGTTGTTGTTTTAATCCAGAAAGACAGAAAGGAGTGGTAAGTTCTGACATTGGTCACCATTATAGCAGCAGGTCAACATTTAGTATATACTATGCATCTACTTACGTATGAAGAATGAGGGTTGTACTCACTGTGTGGCTGGTTGGCGAGTGCTCTGGTGTCGTTTGCTTCTTCTTTCCTATCAAACACCTATCGTCCTTATCTCCCCTTCTTCTTTTTTATGTTTGTTACTCTCTCTTAACACCTCTAATCTTCTGGCGCTCATATGACCTTAGGCAATTGCGAGCGCCGTAAAACCTCTATTAAAACTAAAAGACAGAAAGGAGTGGTAACTTCTAACATTGGTCACCATCATAGCAGTGGGTCAACATTGCTGGAAAAATAATGCTTATACTATGTATCTACTTATGTATGAGTACAGCCACCGGAACAATCAGTAAGGATACATTGCGGGCTTTGGTGCTGGGGGGGGGGGGACTGAGCACTTATGGACCTGTCCGGTGTGCAATGACGTTGTTGCCTAGGACAGGTAATACAGGTAATACTTATGTATGAAGAAGGAGGGCTGTACTCACTGTTGAGCAAGAAAGCTATCCAGGTGATGTAGAAGAGGCTCAGGACCACACCACTGTAGGCTCTGGACAGAGAACCCGCGGCGTAGGCGAGACGGGCAGCATAAGCGTGGAGGAAAAACCCGGCGACCATCAGCCACGGGATGGGCAGCGTCTGGGGACAAGGAGTGGATATGTGCAGAGCTGTTAAAGTACTTTTAAAAAGGTACTTAAGTACAAATTTAAGTACAATCTAAAAAATGTACTTAAGTACAATAAAAGCATTTTCCTGTAAAATGTACTTGAGTACAAGTACTTTTTAAAAAAAGTACTTATGAGTATATTTTGAGTAATTTCTGCTAATATGCTAAAATACTTCAGTGCTAATGCAAAACATCATATTGAATAACAGATCGAGTATATTTGATGTGATGCATGCTGACAAAATGAGTTACTTCTCGTAGTCCATGGATGGAGATATGGGACAATAATCGGCACAAGGGTCAAATTTGTACATCATTAACGGATGCCATTTTCTTCAAGTTTAACATTTTTTATCATTTTATACAAATACATTGTATAAACTCAACCAATAAATGTGACGTATCTATCTCCATAGTAGTAACTCATTTTGTCAGCACGCCTCACATATGTGGAACGATGTGGTGGAATCAGGCGCTCGTCAATTTTTGGGTATATAAGGCTATTGGTATCATCTAAAAGACTAATAATTTGTCTTGCTTTTGGTGGGAAAAACATCCATCAACGTAGAATTAGAAGTTGAAATAGTTGACATTGAAGGAGGTCAGGGTCATCTTGTTTCAGATGTAAAATTAGCGACAAAATGGCCACCAAAGTTTGGTAATTTCTATAGCTTGAGAGTCCTTGGAAACTGAAAATTTACAAATTTTGTGCCTTTAATCAACGTTTTTCAGTAGAAAAAAATCCATGCAGAAATGTGTTTTTATATACGGATATAAAAGTGTTAAGCCAAAAAGAGAACATTAGAAAAAAATGCCCAACGGCCAGAATAACGCCAATTTTTTTTTATTTCATTATTTTGACGAGCGCCTGATTTCACCATGATGCCTCACATAGTATGATAGTTTCAGTTTCAGCGAATTTGGAGAGGCTAAGGTGGGGTTGGATGAGAGACTTTC